TATATATATATATATATATATATATATATGTATGTATGTATGTATGTATGTATGTATGTATGTATGTATGTATGTATGTATGGCATTCGGCTTTGTTCGGGTATTTTCCCACGTCATTGTAGTTCTTTTAAAGTTGTAGCAACGTTTCAGCAGAATCTCATCTGCCATCATCAGGCTTCTGTATAGTGTTCGTCTGTGAGTCAGACTTTTACAGTGGTTTCAGATTTAAATTTGGGGCAGCCTATTGCTGTGCCAGAATGGTTTTTTCTTCATCCTGCAATTATAAATACATATATATCTAAGTGCAAAGAGGATCCCAGACTTCGGGATTTTTCATACCTGAGGGATGAAGTGTCCCTTGAAAATAACATTCTGTGTTGTTGTACGTGGGAAGTTCTCACTACTCCCAGGCTGAAAACGTAGCATCTCATGAGTAAATGCATTGGTGTAGGACAGCTTCACCTTATCCTCCATGGTGGGCTGGCGGTTTGGTCCCACAACATCATCGATTTCCTGCTGTATTTTGGCTGCAATGAATCAGATGTTGTTAAAGCAATAATATTGTTTTTAAACTATTCCAGATCTAAATCATACTTATCCTTCTATAACAGATAATCAGATGCAAAATGTGCCCTTAAAGACTAGTTAAACAGGTTATCCTATGCCACTATCCATTTACGTCTCCACTTTATACTTAAGGACAATGACTAGCAATTTTCTCTGGCTGGATAAGAACTTGGAAAAATCTGCCCCAATTCCTATGCAGAATGTGGGCTAAGCTGGGTGGGTGCTTGGAAGTTCATTTTCCCACCCAATCCTCTTCCCCCACCTGTGGTAGAAGACATTTAACTTATTGATCACTAGTTAAGGGTTTCCCTGTCCAGTTGTGTCTGACTCTAGGGTGCGGTGCTTATCTCTGTTTCTTGGCCAAAGGAGCCAATGTTGTCCAAAGACATTTTATGTGATCCTGTGGCCAGCATGGCGATATGCCAAAGAAGCACAGGCAGCAAATTCTCTTTAACTGTAAGATGGTGGTCATCCAAATTTATGTAATCTGGATGCAGCTGCTGCAATAAATGTTCTTGGAGTCAGAGATCAAAAATGGTACTTTGGTGCATGAAAGAGACTTGTTTTCTGCTAGTTCCACACAGGTTCTCCAAATGACAGCATAGATACTGCTCTGATCATAGAAAAGGATAGGAGAAGACAAACATAGCTGTATTTTGACATTTTATCTGTACCATGTCAGTTTCAGTGATGCACCACACTTTTTGAACCAAGTTACATAAGGAGAAAAACTGGGGAACCACATCTTCCCCAAGAGCAGTGATGGCCATTGGGAAGGGAATTCTTTTCTGCTCAGGCCAGACGAATGCAAGACCATCACCTTTCAGTTAGATTTTCTATTAAGTAGATAGATTTCAGGGCTTCCGTATTTCTCCCAAATGATTATTGACCTCTCAACCCCTGATAGATAACAGAGAATTAGAGTTTTCCCCTCTTTTGGCCACCATGTGATGGACTGCCGTATTTGTACAGTTGGATGAAGCCATTGGCTGAGTTGTTGGAATTTGCAACTTAAAGCTGTATTTTCATCAGTGTACATTCCAGGACAGAATGCACTTTAAAAAAAAATAGCATTCCATGAGAAGAAATAAAGAATTAAGGCTTCCAACACCCCACGACTACTAGGGAATTTCCTCATCCTTTATGTTAAAGGACAAGAGATTTTCCAATTATGTTCATTAAGATAGGGAAAGGCTATTCAATTCCAGAGCTTTGCAATCAACTGATAGGTCAATAAAAATGTCTAAAAAGGCAGCGGCTAGGAAGAGGGAGCCACATGACACCCCTGCCAAAAAAATAATAACGTAAAACAGATGCTGGCCCCAGAACAGGGTATATGAAGTTGGTTCCACAAGTGAAATGCCAAGATAATGCTACTTGAGTACAGTAGACCTTTGTCTTCAGTTGTGTCATCTTAAGCTTCCTTAGAATACCATGAATTGTCTCAAAGGGAAGACATTTGATTTTCATCATTTTCCTGTTAGAACCTCTTGAACCAGCTTAAGCCTTCCTTAGCAACAGGATAGAGGTTCTATTGTGAAGACACGTCTTTAGTAAATGATAAGTGGGTATCTTATACCACAATAAGGATGCTGAACATTATCATTTAGAGGCCAGGGGGTGCAGTGCAGCCCAAGTGTGGCAGGAGTGGTTGGCTGTTGCAGGATGGGGGAGGATGTGCGACTGGTCTGCAAGACATGGCATGGCTAGGTAGGGGAACTGTATTGGTGGCTGGCATGGCACACAATGGCTGCTACAAGCTAGGGCAAAGCACAGGTAACTTATCAAAACGATTTGCAACATTCCCTGCCAGTTTGCCCTCTGATATTCCTTGTGGGAAGACAGCAGGGAAGGTTGTAAATCAAGTGACTATAGGACCTTACAACCATAATAAGAGTGAGTTAGTTGCCAAGTGTTCAAATCATGGTCATGTGACCAATATATATCATAACTTTAATGGATTCTGAATGAGTCACTATTAAATGAGAATATCAGTATTTGAATTATGGCACACATTTTCAAACATTGTTAAAATTATTTCAATTATATTCAATTTCAATATAGATTAATGGGGGGGGGGGGACATTGATAAATAATTCTGATCCTCAAATTACCAAATTTGATGTGGAGGCCTTGTGGGGCCTTCATTACAAGGTTGATTCTTACAATATGTTCATTAGCATAGGTACGTGCAAATCATCAAGGAAACATATAGATTCCTACTGTCTGAAGTTTTATTAGTAGATTAACTGAGAAAGTGTGATCTAGCAGTTAAGGCACCAGGCCAGAAGACAGGAGACTCTGATTTCTACTCCCACTTTGGGCATGAAAGCTACCTAACATAGGCTAGTCACTCTGTCTAAATTATAGCATGCCATATACCTTGGACTTCTGGGAACCTGGCCAGAAGGATAATACCATATGCAATAGCATTGGCTGTGCTATCTGTTCCAGCAATTAACAGCTCAAACACAGTCATGACCAAATCTTCCATACAGATAACATTAGAATTTCGTTCCTGTAAGGTAAGGTAGAAATAAAATAAAAGGCAGAAGTTTATAATGTGGAGCTTCATCATTATTTCATCAAATTGTCTATCTTCTTCTTCTTACTTTACCTTTTTTTTCTAGACCAACTTAGAGAGGAGGCAGGGAATAATCCAATATAAAATCCTCCCTATTCTCTACATTAATTTGAATATCCAATGCAACTTAATAGATGTTTGGATCAGATAGATCAATGTTTAAATGAAAGAGACAGAAACTAACAAAAAAGAGCACCCCAAACCAGCCATTCTGTCACTATTCAACCTCTGAAATGTTTTTCCAAAGTTTGCCACTGAATTATACTTTAAGTGCAATGATTGAATGAATGGATGAATGAATGAATGAATGACTAGGTAATTACTTAGTTTGTTTTAAGACAAGTAATTCATATTCAGTTCTTGTCCTGGCCCCAATCATTTTAGGGTGCCCATCAAAAGCCCATTCTCTACAGGACTCTCACCCCCCCCCCCCCCCCAGAAAAACAAAAAAACACCCCCTCCCTCCCCCCCCCCCCCCCCCCCCCCAAAAAAAAAAGATAACATTCCTCTTCTCTACAGCTTTACCTACTACCAAATTGGCTTTGCTAACTCATGGCATGATATAGACCTGGGCTATGGCACCTCCTTTAGTGCTAAAATGGACACCACAGGCAGATCCACACAACAGTTTCTTAAGGAGTGAGTTTGTTTGTTTACAAACATCATTATTTCTAGGAGACCTCAATTCCTTGTGGCTGCGTATTTTATTGCAGTATTTGTGGCACAGGAGGGAGACACATATTTTTTGCTTTCTGATGTCTCAAGAGTACAAATTGCTCCCATCATCAGAGAATGGGATACAAGTGCATAACTGAAACTCTGTCCCTGTTGTACTTGTGTGCGAAATATCCTTGCAATATACCTTTTCTAATTTAATGAGGAAGCAATCAATAAAGTCTCTGGGATTGTCTGGATCCAAGGTCTTCTTGTGAGAGTCCACTCTAGTCCTAACGTAGTCACAAATCTTGGTACAGTCAATGACAGCTTTATTGTGAGGTCCAGGAAGGAATTTCATGAGACTTGGCATTGCGCTGTACACCTGTAACATGGTGATAGTAAAAGTTAGCCTTTCTCAGTCCATCTCTTTTGCTTTGCCTTCTGTGCAGCTGCACAGAAAAAAACTGGCTTCTCTATAAAGTGTCCCCTTAATTCTACTTTGTTAAATAAATAAATAAAATGCAAGACCAGTAATGTGCAGGGCCTGCTAATCAAATGAATATAAAATATAATCTCAGGGAACCAAGATTATTTAGTTACATTTTTCTCTTTAGTTATAGCTCCTCAATTCAGGGGTGGGATGCTACCGGTTCTGCCTGGCTCTATAGAACTGGTAGCTCTGAAGAACAGCAGACACCAAACCGGTTCTGCGTTTGCTGCTGTTTGGCCTGCCCATCCACCCGGGCTCTTACCTGTCCTTTATTTCCTGCTTTTTCAACCTCAGCTGCTTTGCACGGCACAGCTGAGGTTGAGAAAGCAGGAAAAAAGAGGCTTTTCAAATGCTGTGCACTTGCGCACAGCGCTTTTCAGCTCTCCGGGCAGCACAGCTTAAGATAATTTTACACACGTGCACAGCAAGCATCTGATGTGCAAAACGTAGTCACTGAATTGGTAGTAACACCCGTTGAATCCCACCCCTGCCTCAATTGCTATTTGAGAAATAATGGAATGAAAGCCAAGGAGTTATGGAAGACTTAAAAAACAATGATTTATGAAGGCCTCAAAGTTAGCTGAGAAGAAACAGGGCTGAAGCTTTATCCATCTTGAATAACTCTGGAAAGAATCACTGCTAAGTCACAACATGTGAACTAATCAGGAGCAAGATGAACAAGAGATGCAGACTGATTTTCACAAACACACTTTTTAGGTCACTATAAAAAGCCTCCAATTTTTGTAAGTTGGAGGGAACTAACTGAACCAACCCTCTTTAGTCTTAAACAAAGAGAAAACCCTGCTTATAGAGCAACATAAAGTTGGCATACCATTCCAGGAGCACTCAAAAAGAAACCTATGAATGTCTTCAAAATTTGTAATATTTCAATGAAGATTTTATCATCATAAGAGAATCGTTTCCCAAAGATAACAGCACATATCACATTAGAAACAGCAGCTGCAATGGTTGGGACTACATCAAAAGGCTGATCTGCAACAGCAAAAAGAAAGAAGAGATTATGTGACCATGTTTTGCATCCCCCAAATCTTTTTCTCTAGTGACTTTGTGAATTTTCTTTACACTACATTCTGTTTAGACTTTACGCACATGTGGAATCTTTATGGTTCCAGTGACACCTGGAAGTTTCCAATGCACAGCCTGATTCTAGTAAATTATGTCATGGTTGTAATTTGTGCCTCTCTGAAAGACAATTAAAGTGCAGGTGGGGCATTTTTCAGGAACTTCTCAATCTAGTGAACAGTCTCTGGAAATCAGGATTCAAGACACATCATGTGCCATCCAGGTAGATTTCAACCCATTTTTAATTCTAATCAGCTACCTTCCGAAGTATAACCAGAAAGGCAGAGCATTAATTCAAGAAAAAACAAGTATTTGTTTCTGAATTTAAAGATGAATAAATAAATACACCATCTCACAGTTTTGTTGTTGTGAAGCAAATGGAGGCAACAGCATTGTGTACACTATCTTGTGTTGTTCACATAAAGGTGGGATATAGTTCTATAAATCAATAAAAATAGTTTGCAATATAGGATCACCTTCAAAGCTTGATATCTTCTCTACCAAACAATGAGCTTCTTCTGACATCCGTTCAGCCATTGACTTCTTTCCCATTCCAAAGTTCCTCAAAGTGGTAAGAATAAAGCGACGCAGAATCTTCCATCTTTCGTCTTCACCAATAATCCCTGAAAGGATAGAAATTGCAGTAACAAACAACAGACATGACAGCATTTTTTTTTTTGAAAACAATTTTATTAGTTTTTAAAAACAAACAAACAAACAAAACATAAAAACATCAAGCTTTCTTTCATGAATATACAAACAGTGTGTCGGTTGGTTTACCAGTTTTGTGCATTCATTTCGTAGTCACAATTACAGTTACATTGCATAATAACTCATATTATCAATCAAAAATTATATACCCTAGTATCACTATCAAACAATCATTTGACTATGATTTTATTCATTCATACTTTACGAGATAACTATAATTTACTTAATTTATTTTATAACAAATCATATAATCATACCAAATCTATCCTAAAGACATTTTATAAATGTGATATTAAATAAGAAAGAAAAAAATAAAATATCTCTTTATATATTCATTATTATCTAAAATTCTAAATATTCTATTATTGTATTTTATCATCCAACCATTGATAGAAAAGGTCCCAAATTTTATAAAATTGTTTATCCTCTTGTTCTCTAATTTCAAATGTCAATCTACTCATTTCAGCACATGACAGCATTTTCTTAAAGAACAAAAAAAGCAACTTGCCCAGTAGTTCCCTCCCCCACAAAACATCTACCCTTCTCAATGTAAAAGTAAACATGCATTTCTTTTTCCTTGAGTCATTGATAGTTTGGCAAAAGGAAAAGAATTTCAATTTTCTCATGAGTTTGCACTCTACTTATTCAGATTATATCTTGAACAACAGGATTGAAGACACTGCAGCTCAAAAATCTGTTGTTTGTGAGGGAATATTGAATATAGGGTATAATTTCCCCCAGACCACCCAACTGGCCACCATATTATTTGTATTCTAATGCCAATCAGCCAAATGTGGGATAAGTGACTTCAGTTGTGCTTCTCTTTCTTAGTTTGATACTTTGTTCTCTAACCAGAGTTTTGATTGAACAACTTTTCAACTACCTCCAAGAGATTTAGTATTTTATTTTTCATTACTTTAAAAAAAATGACTACTATCACTTCCTTAAAAAAGTTAATATTTTTATCTTTCTTCTAGCAATTGGAAACTACATCTCAAATTGAAGTGAAAATGATCTGCACTTACCGTAGCCCTTGGTTACTTCATCAAGGATAGGTACAGGAGATCGTCCTCCAAATTCTTCACTATGAGTTATCAGGGCATCTTTCACTGCCTCATATCCACAAACTACCACCAATGGCTTTGGTCCTAGCCAGATAGTAAAAACTGGACCATACTTCTTAGCAAGCTTAGGACAAAAGACATCAAAGGTATGAATCAGTGGGATTTGAGATCTCATTTTTGGATATCTGATTCAATTAATAGCTCTGAATACATATTAATATTTATCATTTAAGTTTAAAAACTTATTACCAATGTAAGAACTAAACAGATAGGACTTTTCCTAATCTAACAAAAATGGATTTCAAAGTGCTATGTTAATTTTCATAGCCATTAGTATTAAAAATAACCGTCAAATCAAGTTTTCCTAACTTGAAATTTTTCCACTTGAATTTTAATTTACTATAGTTAAAAACCTTGATGGCCAAGAATTATAGTAGCTCATCCAAAATGCATGGTTCAAAAATGGTGCAGAATAAATTCATTGTGATTAAAAGAAACAGATTCATATTAAAAGTAACTTTGCTTTCACATTACAGCATCATTCTGGGTTCTCCATTAAATGTCAACAAGTGTGACATTCAAACATCATGCTACAACATGCATTGTTTAATCCTGGTTTGTTTATTTATTACATTTAACTACCAAATTCCCAAGAGCTCTGTCCAATTCACAAGTAAACATAATGAAACACAAGAAAAAATACAGCAATAAAAATGACAAAGGGGAAAATAATCAAAGGAACAAGTATGAAAAGGAATGGGTCTACATAAACCAAAGAGAACTTCGTTGTCAAAGGTCTAGGAAGAGAGGCAGGTCTTTAAGGGCCTTTGAAATGCCAAAAGAGTGAGGGCCATTTAGATCTGGGTATTCCAGAGGGCAGGTAGTGCTACTAAAAACCATGACTGGAATGAGTTTAGATAATTGGTTTCCTCCATGGTTCACATCACTTGCAAGATTATCCATCATCTCAACAACCTTCTCCAGAAAGGGAACATGTAGTTGTTGAAAATATTGGATCCAATGGTGCACTATTGCCTCTTTCAAGGCAGAAGTCACCACCTCCCCAATCAAGGATGCTGACACTACACTAAAGACTTAACCGTGAGAACACAGAATGGGCCAGATGCCAAACTGATGGCAAAGAGAACTTTGCCTGAAAATGAATACCAGATCATGCTATCAGGCCAAGCACCTGGTTTTTCATCTGACCCTGCCCACTACCATGATTTCTCTTCACCGTAGCCCCCTCCCTTCCCATAGCAGCCCTCTCACCCTGAAAAAGACTGCTAAAAAGCTATTAATAATAGTAAAGATGCAGAAATATTGATGTTTCAATGTCCTTATAATCACAAAGTATTCCCTAATATGGGGTTTTACTTGCATCCAGCTCTCCTCTCCCCCAAGTCCTACCATGCTCCCTCAATGTGGCAGAGAGTGTTCCTTGGAGGGATGAGCAAAGAATGTTGGGAGTGTATGCCAAACTATATATTTCCAGCAAGGTCACCCAAGGTGTAAAGGTCATCCTAGATGTCCAGCTAAAGCAAAAGGCACCTATATTGGGCTCCAGTAAGATAGGAAGATGTAGAAGCATGTGTTCACTTTAGTGAGAAGGATAGTTCATACTGTGTGGGATAATGCAATGGTAAATTACTTCTGCATTTTTTTTATCAAGAAAACCATATCAATTAAAAATATAAAATGATTGACCATGTAGGCCAGAAGATGGGCCCCTCATGTTTTTGAGGAAGAGTTGAGGATCTTTCAGGGTACTAATGATGGCAAGATGTCAGGAGTCTAGTTGCTGAAGTTGCTACACAGGGGAGAAAAAATCCAAAGCTATAGAGACAGAATTACATAGGAACACAGAATGTAAAAAGCATGAACTTGGGAAGGCTCAACACAGTAAAAAGATGAAATGACTAGAAATTTAGGCATCAGTAAATCAAGATGAACTAGATCAGAAATTTTAGTCAGAAAATCACACTGTTTATTACACAGTACATTAAAAGAAGAAAGGGTCTTGTTTTTATTATTACAAAGTTTATACAAGAATATATCATACAACCAATGCCTGAATATCAATTACCAGTAGACTTTGTGGACAACTCTTCAATTTGACGATCATTCAAATGTATGCTCTAACTATTGACACAGAAAAAATGGAATTAATGGGTTTTTTTAACTATTGACACAGAAAAAGAGGAATTAATGGGTTTTTTTTTTATCAAGTTCAATTGGAAATTGACAGAATGACGTGCTGCTGATTGGAGACAGGAATGTCATAGTTGGAAATATGAAAGAGGAAAACATAATTGGAAACTGAAGTGAAAAAGAAGAAGACCAACTTATCAATTTCTGCCATTTCAACGAATTCTTAACTAAGATTTGGTTAGCTAACAACCAAAATGACACTTCTACATATGGACATTATCAGATGGAGTATATAGCAATTAAGCTGAGTATATTATTGCTAAAATGAGGTGGAGGAGCTGCACTATTGAAAAAGCCAAAGAATACCCAAAAGAAGGATGTGTCTCATTTATAGAAAGATCTTTAATAGCGTTGATCTCATCAAGCTGTAAAAAGTGTTCAGAAAAATGAGAATTCCAGAATATCTCATTGTCCTCCTGAGAAACTTATATTCAAGTTGCAGTTGATAGATCAGATACAAAAGGCTTCAAAAAATATTCAAATGCCATGCTGTGCCTATATCTATAAAGATCAGACATATATAAGCCATGGTATTCTCTGTAGCACTCTACAGAAGTGAAAGTTTGACTTTCAAGAAGCAGGATAGAAAGAGTATTGATAACTTTGATGTTGGAGAAGATGTCTGAGAATATTGCAGATAGACAAAAAACTGATTGTTGGATCACTAAACCATTAAACTCAGACTTCTCATTCAAAACACAAATAACCAGGTTCAAATTGTCCTATCTCTGGCACATTATGCAAAAATATAGATCTCTGGAAAAGGTTGCAATATTGGGAAAGGTAGAAAGAAAGAGAAGACTCCATGATCTCTAGGAGTTGAAAATAACTTGATGGTGTTTAATAAATCAACCAGTAAACCTGTGTCTGGACAGGTTGACTTCAAGTCTTCTAGCAGTGTTCTAGGAGACTGTTCTGGTATTTCATTTATCAGAAGTCCATAGTAAACCATGGTACACAGGAAGGATTGGTGCACAGGAAGAGGCCACATAGGGATGGCATGCAGATATGAATATGGCCTCAACAGAACCAACCACCTCAAGGAAAAAACTCAAATTCTCTCTGAAACTCTAGCATCAGGATGGGTTTGATCAACAGATTCTGTCTCCCTGCAGGAAGGAGTGACACTCTTGAGACAAAAAAACAATCAGAGAGTGATCTGTATAATAGACCAATGTCAATGACCAGATCACATCTCAACTTTCCCTTGACCATAAAACAGATCCAACATGTAGCTGCTAGTATGCATCTGGCTACTGATATCCAGTTCCATGGTTGCCAATATGATTGATCAAAACTAAGTCAGCCACATTATGATAATGAGTTATGTGAAACTAATCCATGCATTCATAATCCTTTAACAACAGTTGGGTCCCTAGATATGATTCACACAATCCTTAATAATTTTATGGATATGTTTCTTCAGTGATGACCAAGTTTCAAAGCTGTTTTAAAGTGAAATTTTTTTAATCAAAAGGTAATTGTTAGGGATAACATTGGTTACCTAACTTAGTTTGGCTAAATATAATATATGTTTGTTAGTTTAAATGTGTGTGTCACTTTAAACTGTAAGCCAAGTATTTGGGTGCGGTTGTAAAT